CCCCCCTTTTTTTTTTTCCCCCCCCCCCCCCCCTCACATTGCTCGCAAAGCCAACTGGCAACCTTTTGTTTTGGTCTGTACTCAATTTCTCATCCTTTCTGGTGGCCAGGACCACATGGCAGAGGTTTGGGAACTCGATCCATAACACTGCATAAATTGCTCACACAATCAGCTGTGTCAGGAGGAGGAGAACTGGGGTGCCCGTAAACACATGGTCTAGTTAACAAATGACACTTCCCACAGCTCCTTTCTGCCAGCGCATAATCCTCTTCCCCTTCCCGATCCCTTCTGAATAATCTTTACTGCGTGCTCCGTCCTAGCTGACATTTATGGAAGCAGCAGAGAATATTCTGCAGGGAACAATCTTGCGTTGGCACAATGGGGGAGAACACAAGATGATCTAATATGCCTTTTTCTGTCTCGCGTATTTTTAAGTTGCTTTGTTTTTGGAATCCCAGCTGCAGATTTACTTTCATACCCTCTGTCCCTTTTCCTAGCACATCATCTTCCTGCAGACAGAGTTTTTGTACCTTTGAACCCCTATAAGTGCTCCTTCTCCTTTTTCCCTGGACCGTGCTCTCTGTGGGTCTCTCCAAGCCAAATGCTGGTTTGCTTTCCCCTGGAACAGCTGCTCTCTTTTGTTGTCTCTGATTCTGGTGGATTGCAGTGCCTGCAATTTGAGCCTCAGAAATGCTCTTTGGAGCAGATGGCAAGTTTATTGCCACCCCAAAAATCAAGCTTCTCTGCTTCGTGCAGGGCTCTGTAAATAAAAACTTACTAATATGACATTCTGCTCAAGGATGCTGGATTTGCAGGGAAGGAAGGATCCTGCCCACGGGTACAGGGCACCGGAGCCCACTCGGTGCAGCAGGGATCGCAGCCCCAGTTGGCTCTCCCTGTCCGATCTTCTTCGTGTTGTAGCCTGACCATCTGCAGGTGAAGAGGGTTACATTTTTTTATTATTTCTGGTGGCTTAATGACATTTTTAGTTAACTGTGTCTGGCCCAGAAGCGCCGTATTATTGCTAACTTTTGTATCGGGGCAGGGCTTATGTAATGGAAAGACTCGAAATGATCAAACAAACCACTTGAGAGGCAGACAGAGGGAACTTGCCAGGAGGCAGGACTTAGGCAGCAGTAAGTCATCCTTCCCTTGTGCAGAGAAACGAAGGCAAGTGGCAGCTCAGCCTCCCTGACCTGGAGAACAGCTGGCCCTGGTCTCTGTTCACTCCGGTGTCCCTCCCTGTGCCTCGGTTTCCTGGTGGCAAATAGAGGTGATGAGTTTTGGTGAAGCATCAGACTGCAGAAGAGAATTGAACAGAGAAAGGAGAAGGCTTTGCTGGGGGCAGTGGCACAGGAAGGGGGTCAGGTTTCTCACCAGCCTCTTTGGTTGGATGCAACATCAGAAAGTAATAATAAGAGAACTGCCGGGTGGAAGTGGAAGGGTAGGACTTTACAGGTCCCCTCTTCTTCTGCCTCAGAATGAAATTGGTATTCAGCGTGGCTGCTTGTCTAGACACCCAGCCTTGCAGAAAGATTCGCCAAGCTCCTTAGCTCGATGAAGTGACATACGTGTGATTATCATTTCAACCAGGGATATGCCTGATCGTGCTAATATGAGCCTGCTGAATTACTCACACCTATTAGCAACACCAGCATCTGCAAGGTGCTGTGTAATTGTGCTCCAGGCTGGGGCTCTGGCCGACTCATATAGCAGTAGTGGGATAAAAGCATCTTGGACCTTGAGCGGTAGAAAGCTCCAGTGGTTGTGCTGATGCTGTACACAGTAAGTTTGGTCTCTCCTTTCAGCGCTCAGTGGGGTCCATGTCACCAGAAGGTGACTTTTCTAAGGTTGCTGATTTTCTAGCCCTCATTTGTGTGCACAGGGAATAACAGGAAGGTGAACGTGTGTTGAAGTATCAGCATGTGGCTCAGGAGACACAGGCTCAGTCTCCAGTTCGTGCATTAGCTGAGTGGGAGCAGCTCAGGCTACTCCAGGAAGGAATGGATTTCCTTTAGAGCATTTTTAAAATGCAGACAATTGTTTGGGTTAGGTGTTGGCCTCCAAATCAGTGCTTGTTAACAGGCTCTGCTCATCTCAGTGCCCCGCAGAGGCCGTTGGCAGCCCCGCTGGCTGGTGGTCTCGCAATGGCAGCTTTACAGGTCCGAGGCTGCTCTTCCCCCTTGTCATCCCGTGCCTTTCCAGGCAGATGGGCTGTGCATCTCCAGCCCGAACGAGATGGGCTTCCCCCAGAGCCAAGACTCAGAGAGGGGTGGGAACCTGCATGGTGGTTTTGGACGCAGGTCTGGGTTTGGTTTCCCAGCTCTTCTGAATGCTGATAGAGGAAAAAAAACAGATTTGAGTGACAGGCTCCCAGCGCTGGTTTTCCCAGCGGTAGGGAAGAGGGTAACAGGGCTTGTCATGTCTTGCAAAACTCTTGCAGCATAAATGAACATAATTCTGGTCTGTCTGTATTTGGCTGTTGCTTGTATTTGTGACCTGCCTGTCCCCTTTCTGCCCTGTTTGGCCACTCTCCTGGCCACAGAACTGAGGATCTCGGCAGGAGTGGTGCAGAGCATCTTCTCCGAAGCGCTGCCATCTTGAGCAGCCATTTGGCATTGTGCCTGCTTATCAGTTTTTTCCCTGAATTCACCCCCTTACCTTCTCAGCTGTAATGCTAAATTTAGCCTTCTTTCTGCCACAACATGACTATACAATTTGCTGCCTTATGTAATCCAGAAGTGCTGTTGGAAAGGGGTTTTGGGTTGTTGCTGCTGTGGGATGTAAGTACAAAACGTTAATTGCTATCAAAATCTTTATTTCTGTGTGAAAACTTTTGAATAGTGTGTGGATGCGTTTTGTGTTACAGATACTATAGAAAGCACAAGCCAGAGTCTCTCCCAGTAGAAATTGGTATTCAACGTTGGCTTTGCTATTACCGTGCTGATAGACAGGACTTGAAAATCTGATCCTCTCTGAAAGTGGGCATTCGCTGCAGGCATTCTGGGGTTGAACAGCGGGCTGGAGCTTTTGTAAATAGGAGAACTTGGGACCTGGGCTTTCAGCTCACTTATCACAAATCCATGATAAAATTGGAAGCTGACTGATTTCTCGGCTGTTTTTTTTCCCCTTCTCCTTCCCAGCTCTCTCCTGTGGAGTTCCCAGAGCCCCAAAGAACGGAGTTGTCTTTGGCAAGGAGTATACAGTGGGTACGAAAGCCATGTACCATTGCAACCAGGGCTTCCAGCTGCAGCCCGGGGAGGAACCCAGCACAGAATGCCTGCAGGCAGGGCAGTGGAGTAACGGCAACCAGCCCCCGCAGTGTGTGGGTGAGTGTTTGCAGCCGGTGCGGTCCCACAGGGAATTTTGGAAGTCCCTTCAGTAACGTCTTCCTGCTCTAGCATGGACAGCTTTGCCTCATGGGTGCGGTTTTTAGGACACCAGCTTTCTAATCCTGCATAACTTGGCTCTGACGTACCCTCTCATGGTGTCTTGGTTTCCCACCTGTAAGAGAGATGCTAATAAGTTGTTAAAAAGCCAGCACACTTGCCAAAATGCCCTGAAGTGCCCTGAAGTTAAACACCTATTAACGTCTTTCTGTCTCATTTCTTTTTCCTGACTCACCGCATCTGGTTTTTAGCTGTCACCTGTCCCGATATCAACAGCATTGCAGTTGAGCATGGCCGGTGGCGGCTGACCTACGAGATCCAGTACCACTACAACGCCCAGCTAATGCTCATCTGTGACCCTGGGTACTACTACACGGGCCAGCGGGTCATCAAGTGCCAAGCCAACGGGAAGTGGAGCATAGGCGAACCGATGCCGACCTGTAAAAGTAAGAGCAGTGAAGCTCGGGAGCCGTGCCGGGGCAGGCCAGCTTCACGGGATGTCTTGCAGGGAATTGGATTTCTGGTTTCCATTTGGTGGGTGTGCAAGCTCTGCTGTTGGAATGTAAACGCACCACAGCCCTGGCCGCTCTCGGCAGCATCTGAGAGCGCAGCTGCAGAACTGCTCTGGCAGAAGAGAGTTTGTATGCAGGGGAGAGGTCATCTGTTGATCTGATTCTTGGTTTAATCTAAACAGTTCTGCAAGAACTCAAGCACGTTAGCTCATCTGTTGCTGTCAGGTCCCAGCAGCTTAGCTGTCGCTGGTGCCAGATGCTCTGAAGTTTGCTTTTAAGAAAGAAAATAAAAAATTCTGATTTAAAACCTAACCTCTTCCAATTTTATGCAAATGCCAAGTTTACAAGGGTAACAGTGTCACCTGTAAATCAAAAACGCTCTTGGCAAACAAGCAGCTCAGTCAGTTCTGACATGACTGCTGTGCTTTGGATCTTTTCTTTTGTCAAAGGTGGAGGTTTTTTTCTCTCTAAGTGCAGGTAGAGACAGAAAAATTCTCCTTCAGAATGGCAGCTTTCCCTTCCCTCCTGCCTCCCTTTGTTTCTAGAGATGCAACTGCCGACTTTGGTGACAGATGTAGTTTTACCCCTGCTAGCTCTTCAGCCAGATCCAGGAGCGTGAGCCTGACCTCGTTTTATTTCTTCAGCGTTATTGCCACCTAAATTCAAATGACAAGATCTTGGCAATGCACTAAGGTCAGAAGCACCCAGCGTGAGTCTCTTGATTTCTTGATGAGTGCGAGAGCTCCAGAGGGTTTGCAGATCTTTAAGGCAGATAAAATAAAGAGCTGAAGTCTGTGGCTGGGAGCTGCATTGGCAAGGGCTCCTGGCCAGGCTCCAGCTGCACCCTCCAAACCAGGCTTTCGGCTGGGTGTCTTCTGTGGGTCTGATCTTTAGATGTCAGCTCTGACCTGGAAGTCACTGTGTGAGAAAAAGCTGGGTGTCACTTTCTAATTGGAAATCTTGTGCCATTTTATGGCTTTTCTGGAAGTCAGGCTTCCCGGCTGTATCTAGCAATGGGTTAATAATAGAAATATTCCTGTGTTAAAAACTTCCCGTGTGAAAAACTTCTATAGTTTCTTCCTAGCCAGTCTTATCTTTAGTACTTCCCTTGTGTCCTGAAGCATAAATATTAATAGCACTTACATTTGTCATCTCATGTAACACGACTGAATCATTGTTATTATCCACATAACTATTTAATAATCTTTCCTACTCATTTCTGACTTCAATAATAACGTGTGGTGGTAAGCGTCACTGAGCGCATTTCTTTAAAAAACCCATTTCCCTGCCTGTTCTCACTTACTGTACTTTGGGATCTCTTTTAGTTATCTCATGCGGAGACCTGCCGACTCCACCTAACGGGAACAAGATCGGCACGCTGACCAGCTATGGGGCCACGGCCATCTTCTCCTGCAACACCGGCTACACCCTGGTAGGGTCCCGTGTGCGGGAGTGCATGGCCAACGGACTCTGGAGTGGAGCAGAAGTGAGATGCCTGGGTAGGTGTGGAGTATCCGTGATGTGGTGGGGAGAGAGTCCTGGTTGCGTTTCGGGAGGGAATAGGAATTTTAGATACTGATTCAGGAAAGAACCCAAGCAAGGACTCAGTGCTACTGAAGCTGTAGGGTTTTAAGTAGATATAAAAAGGAAGCAGACTTTGATTCCTTGCCGCTCAGTAGATGTGAGGTGTTTTGAGATTGGAGAGGAGAGCTTTAAATATGATATGTTGTTTTTACTGCAGCTCTGGTTTTATTTATGACTGCAGAGACTCGAGTTCAGGTCCACCCAGAGAGTCAGGGTGGTGTGCGATGCCTTCAGTAGGGGCAGGCGCGAGCTCTCGGTGATTCTCCTCGTCTCCCTCCTGCAGCGGGGCACTGCGGTGTTCCCAGTCCCATCGTCAATGGGCAGATCAACGGGGAGAACTACAACTATCGTGGCAGCGTGGTTTATCAGTGCAACCCCGGCTTCCGCCTAATCGGGATGTCAGTGCGGATCTGCCAGCAGGATCACCACTGGTCTGGGAAGACGCCTGTCTGTGTGCGTAAGTATGTTGTCAGATTTCTTTAGCCCTGGTGATGGTCAGAGGACAAGAGCACATGTAAAGACCATTGAGAGTTCACACATCCAGGCTGCCTACAGTTGCTTTGCACGCACGCAGCGAGTCTGCTGCACAAGCGCTCCTGGGGTTCACGTAGGAGAGAGCTGAGGTGTGGCAGGAGTGGCAGCGCTGCAATTCTGGCTGCTTTGCTTCTTCCCTCTGCTTTGTAAATTCCACGTTTCTTTGGTGGTTTTCATATGCTGAATTGCTAATGGATGAGCCCAGTTGAAGGTGTGGTTTCTGAGGAGACCACCCTTTATCGGGGTGTGGGGCGGTTAAAGGCAGCCATAGCCCCACCAAGCACACCACAGTTCTCACTGTCTTTGAGACCCGTGCTCTGTGCCAGAATAAAGTCAGTCTCTCTCCTCCTCTGATCCACATTCACAAGTCACCTTGTACAACCTGCTCATTTATCTTTCCAGTAAATAAGCTAATTAAGTAAGTCTCTAGAGTTCTAAGGTGTTAATAAGTTTAAGCATCTTCTTATCAATGGACAGTGCAATCTATGTATTTCATATCATGATTCTCCAGTTGTTTGCTTCCAATCTCTCCTGTCTGGTTTAGAGCTTTATGTGCTGAGGCACAATAATAACAGCGAGATAGGAAGTAAGGAATGACCTATAAATCAATGAATATGCAGATTCCAGCCTAAAGATAAAAAGCAGACTTAAGTTGTCAAGGTTAGCAGAAACTCCAAAATTTGGAGGATGTCTAGGATTCTGCATGAGCTTTTTAGGAAAAGAATTACTGGAAAGGCTGGCTGTGGGTCTGTAGGTAGATTTGAATTACTCTTGTGTCTGAGGATGCTCTGTTGAAAAAGCTTTCATTCACTTTTACCTGCCAAGTATATACATACTAACCTTGGACAAAGAAATCATTGATAGAGGTCTTCCTGCTGTCAGGCAGATGTATGGAAATGCAGGATTTTCTAAACATCCATTTTCATGGCTCATCTTGTTTCTTTTGGGAGGGACCAAACCCGTTAGGACAAAGCAGATGAACGTTGCTCGTCTGTATCTGTCTTCTGACTACTGAACCAGTACAGGGCTGGTTCCTATGCAGCGCCTTTGTTTGGCTCTGCTTTGTGCCAGCTTCTGACTCTGGCACCTGAAAGCCCACCAAGCTTTTGTGCGGAGATCTGTAAAGGTGTCTCATGTGCAGAAGTTGGCCCTGAAGTTATTACACTACATTAGACCTTATGGATAACATAAATTTGATGTCATTAAAGCAGAGCACTGTTGGGCTCTGAAATTAGATGCCTTGAGGCTTTATTGCTTCTGAAGAAGCTCAGGGCACTGTGTGTGTGTTAGCACATTATAATTTCCTACTGTCCTGATATTTTCTCTTTAAACCTGCTGCAGTTGCTTCCTCTGTGCGAATGGGTCTTTTTGATCCATGCCAACTTCAGGGAGCCTTTTTTTTTTTCTGGGACAGAATCCATCACCTGTTTCAAAACATATTCAGAAGTACCTCAGAGAATCTGACATCTGCTTCCTGCAGCACTGAAAGGCTATCTTGCTTCATATTTTTTAGACCTGTATCTGTCACCAGCTTGCATAAGGAATAAATTCCCATCCCTGTGGTATAGTCCAGCGCTGGCAGTCAATGTGTTATGGATTTCTGTGGGAATTTCATCTTCCCCTCTAGCTTCTGGCTTTGGCAGCTATACAGCTAAACTGCTGCACTTTTACTGATGGACCATTACCCTGTTTCAGCATGGCAATAATCAATATTGCTTTGTCCTCAGCCGTCGGAAGATGTCGCATTCCTTAAGCAGCTAAAAATCTCTGTATGGCGTATCCTGACGTTTCTTCTGCGCAGTGGAACTCGCTGCTGTGCTCGAAGCAAAGGTCTCCAGGCTTCGCTCACAGCAGGGGCTGAACCCTCCCTGTATCGCCCACCTCTGCCGAGGTGCCAGCAGAGTGGCCCAGGCAAAAGCACTTTGAATTTCAGTATTGTGTGTGCTTACTGCTGCTCCAGCCTTTGCCTCTGCACCTTCCCTGGGCATTGTCGGAGTGGCTCAGACCAGGACCCTTTAGCCCTTTACCTCATCGCTGGCCCAAGCTAACGTCAGCCCCAGGAACAAGAACTACACAAAAATCCTCATTACGGGGATTTAGAAATAAAGGTTTTCTCCCAAAGTTTTTCAAACTTAAAGCAGGAAGATTTAAGCTTTCTAAGCCATATGCTAGAAACCTGATTTTTCTCATATTTTTTCTCTCTTTTAACTATCCCTCCAGGTGTAACTTCATACTGCAGTGGGCATACATCTGACTTACACCAGGGAGAGGGAGGAAAACATCAGGTTTCATGACTCTGTGTGTGATGCCCAGGGTAATGTAAGGCAATAGATTAGTAGCAGTAGCTGGGATTTTTGATGAGGAGCTCTAGGGATTTACAGTATAAATCAGTAGGATGCTGGCACTCAGCTGCTTAGAGAGCGGTTCAGAGAATTTCTTATGCCAGTAAAATGAACAAAGGTACCATGCTCTCAACTTGATTCAGTATTTCAACAGGGCTGGCCACAAATCTTTGAAGTCGGTGTGGGTTTCAGGGTTGATGTGGGGTTTTTTTATGGTCTCCTTCCTTGGGAACTTTTTTCCAATGGATAATCCACTTTCCTCCAGGAAAAAAGTAACATCTCCAATTTCTAATTGTAGCTATCACTTGCGGCCACCCTGGCAACCCTGCCAATGGCTTGACCCAAGGGAGCCAGTTCAATCTGAATGATGTGGCCAAGTTTGCGTGCAACACTGGGTACCGCCTGGAAGGAGCATCGCAGTCCCAGTGCTTGGCCAACGGACAGTGGAGCAGCACCCTGCCCACCTGCCGCGGTAAGTCGTCTGCCTCCACCCCGGTCTAGGCAAATGGGACTTGTCTGTGCCTTCCTCGTTGGTTTCTCTGGGTTCCTAAAATCCAGGTTGATGCTGTCATAAATTGATGTAAAACAAATTTTGCAGTTCCTCAGGAACGTACAAGTGATGTTTGAGCACTGAGGGCTGTGTAAATCTCACGCAACAAACCTGATTTTCCCTTGGGCTTCACTCAAAGCTGTTAGTGGACCCTGCCCAGCCCTGCATCCTCCAAGACATTGAAGTATGTGTTGTAAGTGGGGAGGATACAAGAAAATATCAGGCCAGACCCTTAGCAGAGGTCATCCTGGTAGCCCTAGACCAGTTTACTCAAAGCAAACGCCACAGTCTTTGTGCAGAGCCCTTTCTCCTTTGGTATTGGCCCTCCTTCCATTGGTATTAGCACTCAAGTTCACTTATCAAATTCCCTCCTCTCCCTGCATTCCCTTCCTCTGTACTCCCTTAATCCAGTATCTCTGTCGATACTGTTGCTGTGTTGGTCAAGAAATCGGTTATTCTCAACTGGCTAATGTAAGTCCCAGTTTGGGGCCAGAGAGCGAGGCTCTGCTGCTGAGCCTCGCGTGGCAGGGCGAGAGCCTGCAGGATTGCCTCTACTCTCTTTTTCCTTTTAATAAGGATTTTTTCTATTTCTGCCCCAAAGAATCTTTTTTTAAAAAAAAGGACAAAAAACCCCCAAACCTTCAATTGTAGAATATGCGATTTGCGATTTTTTCCCCTTTTCCCACTCATTTTTGGAGAAGCCTTTGTTCTTTGTTACACCCTTTGTTTTGTATTTTTTTGTTTGTTTGTTTGCAGTTGTAAACTGTACTGACCCTGGGCACCTGGAAAACAGCATCCGTCAAGTGCAGCCAAGTGGTCCTCACAGATTCAGCTTTGGAACAACTGTCTCGTATCAGTGCAGCCATGGATATTACTTATTGGGTACACATGTCCTTACCTGTCAGGGGGATGGCACTTGGGACCGTGCCCTCCCACAGTGTCTTTGTAAGTTCTTCAGAATAATACCCATCCACCACAGGCTTTCATCCCATGTAGTTCTCTGTTGCTTAGCTGAATGGTCCTGTAAAAAGTCTGGATCCAAAGCCCTTTGTAATCCATGGGAGTCGTTCCATCAGCTTCACTGGCCTCTAGATCCTGCCCACAGAAGGAAAATAGGTGGTCTGCGGAGAGAAATCCTGTTAGACAGAGATGGTTTCCCTCTGCAGGGGGGCAGCTCCTGCTGAGTTTTACTGGTTCCATGCAGCTCCAGCAAAAGTATTGCAGGTGGAGAAGGGCAGCAGAACTTCTGCAGCGCAGATCTTCATAGGAAGCAGCGTGCAATTAGCCTGACTGAGGACAGAGCATATTTAGCACCGCTCAGGCATGGCTGAGTTTTCATACACCCACTCATCCCCGCGGCTTTGAGGGAGGGAAATGACAGTGCGACGGTGAAATAAATGCAGCCTTTGTTCTGCTGCGATGCAGGTGCTAAAGAGGATTTGCTTCCTGACCCTTGCTCTACATTTTCCGCCCTTTCTTACAGTATCCTGGCCCTTTCTGCCGCTGTGGTTTGCAGAGAGAATTGGGAGGTTCTGGGTGATGGTTTGGCTTAACGAGTATTTCCAGTAGTGTAGAAAGACAGAAAATACTACTGGTGGTCACGTGCTGTGGTAGTAATACCTAGTCCAGGAGATCTCCATGCGTTGTATGAAAGATGTCAGTGGTGGTGTCCCTGTCTTACATTGGGGGAAACCAAGGTCCGAAGTGGATTGAGAGTTGACGTAGGGCTGCCCAGTGAGCTAGTGGCAGAGGCAGGAGCAGACCCCTGGCAGACCATCCCCCAGCACAGCTAGTATGTCCTTTTGGAGACTAAAGCAGCTGCCATCTCCTGTTACCTGGCGTAACGAATCGCTAAAGCAGTCAGAAATGGAGCTCCTTAAGTTCGAATGGGCTGAGCTGTTCCAAAGCCATGATTGTTTCTTTTTTTTCTTGTGTTATCCTTCAACACCTAGTCATACAAAGTAGTTTTGGGCACATTTTCCTTTCCTTTTGTTAGCAGCATGCCATCTTCTCACATTTGCAGCACCCCGCACAGGCTGTGGGGAGCTGACGAATGATAACTGTGTGTTACCGCAGCCGCAGGGGCTCCGAGAGGGTAGTTGCCTTTTAAAACCTGGGAGCCTAATATCCCAGGCTCCCTCAGTCCACAGCTTTCCAGCTAAGTAAAGGTGATCTGCTTCCTTAAAATGTTGAGCATCCATTGACTTGGAGGATTGTTGGGCATTCTCAAAACTGGAAACTCAGGTCAGTTTTACAACTGATTATCTGGAGCCATGGGCTTAATAGTTTAAAGAAAAAAAGAGTAAGAGATTTTTGCATGTCTTTGCTGTGTGTTGAACTTAAGATGTGCTCAGTGCTGAAACCCATACCCCTTTAAAGTGTTTATAGCTGGGTACCTAAAATTACTAGGTGCTTTCCAAAACCTAAATTAAGAAGGTTGATGCCAGACAAGTTGCAAATATTGTCTCATGCCTGTTTCTGAGGAGGGAGTAAAACAGAGTTGATCCCCTTTGAGGGGTGGGGGAGCGAGTCCAATAAGTAAAGCACACGGGAGCAGAGCCTAATGCATGAGAAAAAACAGTCTTCACACTGTGTACATAAATCCTTTAAAAACCTCAATACCGCCACAGGTTTTAAGCTTAGCTGAGTCTGCTGGAGTATCTGTTATTAAATTGTTAGTTACAGTGTGAGTTTAAGTATTAACTATCAAACTCATTTCCTTGCAAAGTGTCCTTGGTTTTAGTCACAGCTCTGCACCAGTATATTTCAACGCCCACGTGCCCAAACATACCCGTGCTCTCCTTTTTATTGAAACATACATCATGTTTTCTACCTAATGCCAGTATTGGTATTTTTAGACTCTAGCAGATGGAGATAAGATATCCGTTACGGATGCTTTCCTTCAGAAACAGTGGTGCATGGTCTTTACGCTGAACATCCTCATCCAAACCTGTCTAATAGCCCCTAGATCTGTCAGTGTATTTGTCAACAGCCTCCCTGTCTCCACTCTGATTGCTAAGCTAAAGTAAACCTATTAATTATTGTTAGCAGTTGGTTTTTACTAGCAATGGTCGAGTGAGCAGTGCCCAGAATCTGCCAGGATAATTTGCTCAGGTGTGACACGACATCGATTGCAGCTCTGTCGCAGGACCTGGTGCTGCCGGGGGTGGGTGGGGGTGAGGGTGTGCATGGACATATTCATGTTTAAGAAGGGATGAGTTTTCCAAAGAACTTGCAAAATGCCTGTCAGTGTCAAGACTAGGCATTTATGCACAAACCCGTGGCAGTTCTTACAGGATGAGCTCATGTCCCTCAGAAGACGACCGATACAAGGTTTGCTATGCCACACCTGCACCATGATGTGAGCCACCAGGCGTTTGATGGGCTCCGGGGCGGACGAGTAGGTTTAAGCTGCCAAGGTCCTGTGCAGCAACCTCAAACATGCGGTACTTTGCTGTGTACCTGCTGCATCTGCCTTCGAACGAGCATCACAGGCAGTTCCCTCGTGGTTGAAGCTGTTGCATCTGTCTCTTGCAGTGGTCTCTTGTGGCCATCCCGGCTCCCCACCCCACGCTCAGATCTTGGGTGACAAGTACACCGTTGGCTCCGTGGTCCGGTACAGCTGCCTCGGGAAGCAGACTCTGATAGGCAACTCCACTCGCATGTGCCAGCTCGACGGGCGCTGGAGCGGCTCCCTGCCGCACTGCTCAGGTGAGGTGGGCTTCGGGAAGGAGGGGATGGGGCAGTCCCATCCTCCACTACCCCTTTTTATCCTGCGAGGGGGCAGCCTGATGTGCTTTGCTGAGCTGGAGAAATGCATGTGCTACAGAGGGAGGTTGTGGAGGACTCTGAAAATCACTGTGTCTCAGCTATCCAGTCTCCTGCAACTTGGATGACAGGCCCTCTCTGATTTGGGGCCGGGTGAATGACCAGTACCTCAGAACCATGATTTCCACCCAAGGGCTTGGGGAGAGACTCCTCTTTTACACCAAACTCAGGCAGTACAGTTACAAAAGCAGTGAAGAGGCAGAATACAGCTCAGATCATCTCCTGCCAAAGGTTCTCCATTGTGTGCAATCCCTACAGTGTGACAGCAGTTTTTGCAAGATGAAAGAAAAGACTTCGATATGTCGTTACGTGAAAGAAAATGCTGAACCTGGAGCATTCTCCCCCTTCTCTTTATAAGCAAGTACGTTCCCTGGAAGATGAATATGCTCATTATGTTTTATATTACACTGCAAAGGCTGTACCTGCAGCAAAGCACAGAAGGCCCCGGAATCGGGAACTTCATTGCTAGCTGCAGGAGTGAAATAGTCTTTCCTGGCTTGGGGGTGGATGTGTTTACACAGATCATTAGCGGAGAAAGCCAAGAACAGGCGTACACACGGTGTGAGCCTGTGTCAGGCAGTAAGGAGGTGGGCATTTCTCCAGCCTGCTCCAGAGAACCCCTGCAAGGAATCTGCTACAGCTGCTCCCTTCCTCCTGTCCCCTAACTTACAGCCGGCAGCTCGAAGTGTTCACAACTTGTACGAGCGGATGTTTCTCAGCTGGATCCCTCCTGCCTCTGTGCTCCGAACCCAACAGCTTCTTGTTCTGCAAACACAATAGGGCATGCTGAGGTGGCTTGGAGCATGTCGTAATTTCTGCTTGGAGGGAAACTGTTCACATGACTGATGCTGGCAACCGAGCTGCTGTCTGCTGGAGCAGCTGCCATGGAAAGCAGCTGCGGCTGGTGAGGGCTTCATCTTGAGATTCAGGACTTCTGGCCGTATTTTGCAACCAGCTTAAAACCAGTGGGCTCCTGGAGTCAGGGGACGTTTCATCTGGAATTTCCCCGCTAGTCAGAGTTAAACCGAGTCAGCCAGAAGATCCAAATCTGCGTGCTGGCCCTCTGAACGTGTGCAGTTGAGAGGGAAGAAGGGCCAAATCCCACGACTTGCTTACTCTGCTGATAGTGTGCTCTATTCTTAACAGGAGGCAGCCAGGGCCTGTGTGGTGACCCGGGGATCCCCTCTCATGGCATTGGGCTGGGAGATGACTTTGATGTAGGCAGCGTGGTCCGATTCAGCTGCGAGCCCGGTTACATGCTCCGGGGTTCATCCGAGAGGACCTGCCAAGCCAACAGCTCCTGGAGCGGCACGCAGCCAGAGTGTGAAGGTACTTTTCCAACCCAGCATCCTCTCCTGCGTCATGCCAAGCCTGCTGTGCGTGTCCCCAGAATTACCGCAGCAGGGACAGCTGCCCAGCCAGCCCGTCCCCTCTGTCTTAGTTGCCAGGGACAGTTTGGTGCTGCGAGAAATAATACTCTTGTTCAGCATTTCCTCCAAATACTGAGTGTATGTCAAGGAGCCTCAATTCTCCCCTTTCCAAACATCTGCAGGTCACATCTCACAGAAGGGGTTTTCAGTGCTAGAGGATGAGTATCACCTTTTTGCGTGCCCAGCTCTGCTCCGCTATGCAGGGTGCACCGGCATGGTGGTATAAAGGGTTTCAGGTTGTTCAGGTTCACGCCAACATCTAGACTGAGGTATAGAGTAGGAAGAGCCTTTGGGAACTGGTCCTCACCTCCAGTCACCCCCCGAGACTGTCGCTCACAGGCTCGCTGCAAGAATTGCTGGGGTGAATCTCTCTTGGTCTGCATCACGCATCCAAGTAGATGATCAGAAATGCCCCGGTTTGTGTAAGACCTGTGGGTCCAGGACCACTGACTAATTCAGTGTTGCTTTGTTGAGGAAATTCAGCAGAATGAGAAATGTCAATAGTCTGCATCAAGCATCCAAGTAGATGATGCCCCGGTTTGTGTAAGACCTGTGGGTCCAGGACCACTGACTAATTCAGTGTTGCTTTGTTGAGGAAATTCAGCAGAATGAGAAATGTCAATAGCTTCAAACCTCCATTAAAGCTGGAACTGGCACATGCAAGAGTCATTTACATTAAGCAGAAACGCAAAATGCAAATTATAATCCAGTAAGCATATTTTTGTATTTGAAAACCCCAAACCCCTTATTTTTCAATTTGAAGGAATCAAGTAAGACCCTATAATCCAATCTAATAAACCCCCATCCAGATTCTCTGAGCTGTGCTGCTCACTGCTACTGTTTTATAAAAGTGTTTAAAATCAATTGGGGAAAGAACAAAAGCCAAAACAAGGCAGGATACCAAATGCAAGGAGACCTGGGCAAGTGCTGCTCTCCAGCTGATTTGAAAGCCAAAAGCTCAGAGAGAGTTTGGAAATGAATTGGAAATTTATTCCAAATTGATGGAGCTCTTGATTGAAAAGACACTGAATCATGTTATTGACACACTCAGGTCTTGGTTTTTTTCATTTTCTGTTTTTTTTTCTTTTGGTGGAAAGGCGCCGTTCATTAATCTCGGAATAAATAACCCAGCAGCTTCCAGAGGCACCAAAATACGGATCCCTGGCAGATTTTTTTTTTTCATACTTCATGAATAATAATAACATTATGCCTATAATGCAGTCATTTAATGTTAAGTGCTGACTGGCCAATATAGGAAAGTAATTTACGGTGATGAGCAGTGTGCTGTGTCTCTGTCATTTGTATTCGCGGCGAGTTGCGAGCCCTTCAAGGTGTTCTTCTGACTGCCCTTTGAGTGTTATATTCAACTTTCTGGAACAGGTATTTATAGGAGAGGGAAGGGAGAGATTAATTTGGGGTTTGAATTCAGGGCAGATGAAAATGAGAGCTGAGTGCCCAGGCAGGTGCTCGGAAGGAATGGGTATCTCTGCTGATGTGAAAAAGCTCCAGCACGGCAGCGGAGCCGCTCGGCACCTCCGCGGTGCATTAGCTCTCTGACTCAGCCACTTGCTCGCTGCTCTCAGCCACCAAAATTGAGCAAGGTCAAGCCTGATGGGGCTTCACAGGTCACCGGCACTCGCCTGCCCAGGGAATCCAATGCAAATTGCTCTCCAGATTAGCTGCTAGATGAGCACAGAGGGTCTCAGTCCATTCAGCAGGAGATGAGGGCCCGCTGCAAAGGAACACGTAAGTGCGGGGATGTACAGAGGACACCGTGCAAATCCTACAGCATAAATAGAAGGGAAGGAGAGAGGAGCTGTTATCTCCATTTCAGAGAGTGCAGGCTGCCATAATAGGTTCAATTACAAAGCATGTGCTTGACTTTGAAGTCAAGGGGGGCTGATGTTTGACCATCGGTGTCTTCTTGCGCTGGGACCAGTACAGCTCTGATCCACAGAGGGGTTGTGTGTGGCAGACGGGACCACTGGGCTCCGCAGAGGGTCACCTTGAAACTCATCGGCTCTTAGTGCTTGTACCGTTTACCCACTAGAATATTTTTAAGAAAACCAAAGGAATTAGGGAGGCAGGTAGAAGTCACAATTGATTTTTTTCCAAAATGTACAAATGGTTTGGAATTAAATTAATTGCAGGGATTCCTTCTGAGACTCCTGCTTCAGTCTGTTTTACGTAGCTCTGGCTTTGTTGTCCCCAGTAACAGCAGCTTCCCTGGCTTTCTAAAAATTGCAGATTTCAGGCCTCATTTAGCTTTAATTTCCAGCGAGTTTTTAAAGTGTAAATGAAATTTGAGATGCTTTTTTCCTTCTTTCTCCTCTCTTCCTGATGCCCCATCTGTGTTCACTGACGAGCAGTGCAGGAGGGGGCTTATCAGCTGTACCACGCTGTACACTCCCTCTTCCTTCTCTTAGAAGTTGAGCAGAATATTTGCTTTTATAATGTTTATTGTTTCTTCAGGTGAATTAAAACTGGGTCCAAAATGAGATGGGGCTCTGGCTGCTCTTCGGCAGTTTCAGTAGACAGAAATGTGTTTATTTTAAGAGATAACACTGGGAAAAGAAACTGAGTTTTGTCTCGTGCCCATTTGACCACTGAGGACATGGGAGGTGGCAGGGCTGGGATTCGGGTCTAGGCTGCTTTTTTTTTTCTTTCCTCTCTCTCTGCATGGTTACGTGGGTTGTGGGTTACTGGTTAAATTAAACAGCATGGAAATTACCAGCCCTGAAGCAAAGGCTTTGAGACTGCAAAGGCTCTCAGCTGTGTCTTACTCCAGCAGGAGGTTTTGCCTGATGTGTCGACATCATTAGGAGAGTGTTTCAGCCGGGTGGTCAGATGGCAGCCGAGCCCAAAAGAAGGACTGACGGTTATAAAGATTACGTCAGAGGAGGGGGAACATGCAAAGGACACTGTATTCACGCGCCACCTCGAGCATAGTCAGAGCTGCACTGAAAGCAGTCATCAGCCCTCAGCTTTTCCTTGCTGCAGTTTCTGAAGAGCAGGGCTTGCTGCTCCTTGCAGAAATGTGCCTTCTCTTGGCAGCGGCTGAAAGAAAGGCCCTGAAACAAGCCCCTCTCATGGTGTTCAGGGAGGTATTTGCTGTGCAGGTCTGGGGGAACTTAAAGCATATAACAGGTAGCAGCACTTGCCCCTTGCCCTGCTCTGGACGCTGCTGCTTTGGCTAATGGTGGTACATGTTGGGGGGGGAGCTCGGTGGCCTTGTCTGACCATACTCTGAGCATCACTCACTTCATGTGCGGCTACACTGGCTCTGAGCTGAGCGCCTGAACAGGACCCAGAGAAATCCCTTTCTCCCAGCAGCTTCTCGCTGTAAAACATGTAGGAAAAAGCAAAGGAAGGCAAGGGGGGAAGCTTAATAAGCTTTTCAGAAAAAGGATGCATGGATTGGAATCAAATTAATTATCGCTGAGCTTTGGAGCACCTCTGAGCTTTGTGATGTTTTATATAGCAGAGGCCACTGTAGCGTACAGAAGCTTCCCAGCTCCTCCCAGCAACAATGGGATCGCAGGGAGCAGCTCCGGCTGTCATCAGGAGTCAAGGCAGACACCGAAGTCCCCGCTGTCTCTGCTTGCGGGCCGCCCCAGCACACGCGCACAGCACGCAGCCTCAAAAATCAAAATTGGTTCCTCTCTAGGAGGAGGAATTGGGGGAGAGTGTCGCAGCACCAGCGCGTGCAGCCTGTTGTCACACCCGCTGCAGCCAGCCGCTGGCTGCGAAACCCCTCCAGTCGGCAGCCCTTCATGTTTGATGAAGCCACGTGCAGATGTAAGAGTTAGCAGGGAACAAGGGGAGTGAGGCAGTGTGCCCTTGACTTCGCGGCAGACCTGAGGAAGCAATAAAGCGTTGAAAGGAGCTTACAGCTCCCAGGTTTAGGGCAAGTAGCTGAGTTCTCAGGAGGACTCAGAGGCATATTTTTAAGTGTTTGGTTCTCCCTGTGCCATCTCCTGTTAGATTTTTAGTGGAGCTTGGAGCCTGCCACGCTGAGCTCGCCCCATCCCACTGCTTGGCCTGGAGCTGCTTGGCAAATGTTGTGCTGTGGGTAGGCTTTAGAGGTGTGCAAGTACTTGGTGGGGGTGGAGTTAATTGCATTTAGCAAGCTTTTCCATGGCGTTTGCTCAAAAAGGAGTTCATAAAAAAATAACTGTAGGAACAAAATTTACTTTAATAAAGAAAAAAAAACCAGAAACCCCAAGGTGGGGGGTTCTATAATGATCTGTAAGTCCCAGGGATGTTTGAAATGTTTCAAAAGCAGCAGTGGGGTTTGGCGTTGTAGGAGTGCCCTGCGGTGCTCCTCAGCCTGGCAGCACAGTACAGCCGGTCTGCAGGGCCGGAGCAGACTATAGGGGTGGGGGCTCTTGGGTCTTCGGCACAGGCGGGGAGACACGTGCTGATCGGGGTGTGAAGGGTCTGGACTCCTGCGCCTGTCTGTCATGTCTTCTGCAATGTGCTGGAAACCGAGACTCGGGCGAGAGGAGCGGGACGAGCTGGCTCTCAGCACCCCTTGCACGCCTTGCTGCAGCAGAGACTCAAACCTTTCTTGTCGTATCAGTCATTTCAACTGAGCATCATCTCCTGAAATATTTCCCTGGTAAAGAAGCAGCAACTCTAAGAAATCCCCATCTGATGCAGCTGATTTTCAGGTTATTTTCTTGAATTTTGACTTCAGTTTAAAGGTGGTTGGGTTTGAGATTCTTAAGGAGGCGTGAGTGGGTACGACTATGGGACTTCCAGGGTCTTTAGGATTTATACCCTGTTCAAAAACCAGCTTTCTTTTGGGGCCTAATTTATTTTACATCTCCCACTGAAGCCAAAGGGAATTATTTACCCACTTACTGCTCACTTGCATGATTAGGTGCTATTTATATTTAAATTATGATTTTAAAAGTTTAAACCTTTCATCCTTACGTTTATGGCTTCTTTTGTATCTAACCTATACAGGTCGCAACTGATGCACGCTGCGACTAAACCATATCCATGAGTCTCCTTGTAGTCACAAAAGTACAATTTTTGGGTCATCTGTGTGTGTTTGGCCACGTGCATAGGTGGAGGAGGTTGGGCGGGAGAGAACAGCTGATGTATGGGCAGGCAGTGAAATAGTAATTTAGAGCTTTTTCTGAGTTGATAGAATCTGACTTTTATCCCAGCATCTCTTGGAAATGACACTGTGTATCACAGAGACGTTGGCTGCATGAGAAATCTGTAACGAGAGCGCACCTCAGATGATTTTAGTGCCATGCAGAGTTTCTGTGCACACAGTCCAGAATGGTTATTAGTTTCCTCCTGTCAAACAGATATGCCTCCAACAAGCTCAGGTGTTAACAGGCTGTCAGCAAACCAAGCAACAAGGCAGAGGGAGACTTCTCTCCTTGCGTTGGTGGCCTGTGCTCCTTGCTTTCCTGCTGGGGCCTGAAGTTGCATTTCCCCGTGGAGGATGGCTGGCAATACTGTGGCGTGTGTGCTGGGGAGGAGTCCCAGGGCAGGGACGGGACACCTGTGTACGCACAGACTGATGCTCTTGCAGAGATCATGGCACGCGCTGGGGAGGGGTGGGAGCCAGGAATTTCCTTATCAAAGAGCTGGGAGCATGCGGGTTTAAGCCTTTCCTTGATTCATGTGATTTTCTTTCATGTCCTGTAATTTCAGAGTAAATGAGGGCTGGGTGCAATTATTGCAGGTGCTTATTTTGTCATGACAGGGCTTTGTGCACCACCATTCACTCTGATGCCCTTTTATTGCTGTGGTGCTGAGGTACTTCAGACATAAAACTTGGACGCTGACAAACCTATAATTGTATTCCCACAATATTCTCCCTCCTCTGAAAGCATCATTGGATATAGCTGGGCAGTGAGCAATGCCACAGTGGGAGAGCAGCGGGCTCCCTTGCCGCTTTCATTCCTTTGAAGTCTGCAAGGTTGTCGGCTTCCTGAAGGGGCTGGAGGCAAAGCTCAGGTCCGGGCTCCCAAACTCCTGGAAGATGGAGGGGCTCCAGGCTTGGCACCACCTGCTTCATTAAGCTGTAGGACCAGATGTGAGATTGAGAGCTGGGGTAAGGCCCCGCAAAAAAATGGACACAAGTTCTTCCTTCAGCCTGGAGGAGCAGGCAGGAGGAGGTTGCTCCCAGGCTTGGCTGTGATGGTGAACTGCAGGATCCCCCCGGGAGAGGAGCAGGACTGGTGCTTCGGGGACCGACTGGCTGCAGGGACGGAGTTTTTTTCAATCCCCTGCCAGGGGTGCTGCGCGCAGCCTTGGGACGTGCTGTCTGGCAAGGTGGAGCCCTTGCTCCGAGCTGGGGAGTGGTGTTTGGGATCCTGTTGGGTTGGTGTAGCTGATTTTCCAGAGAGCAGCCTGTTGTGTCTGAGCTGATCCAAGGGCTTTGCGACTAATCTTACTTTTATTGAGAACAGTCGATTGCAGGATGAAAGCCTTGGGTTTTGGTTTTGGGGGGGTTATTTGTGGTTTTGTTGTTTGGTTGTTTTTTTTTTTTAACTTTGCCATTTTGCTTTCTAGTTATATCCTGTGGAAACCCAGGAACCCCCAGCAACGCGAGGGTTATATTTAACGATGGCTTGATTTTCTCCAGTTCCATTATATACCAGTGCCGGGAAGGCTATTACTCCACAGGAGTGCTGAGCAGGCACTGCACGGTGAACGGGACGTGGACTGGGACCAGTCCAGAGTGCACAGGTGAGCGCTGGGATGGATTCCTGGAAGACGAGATGAACGATGCTGCCAAGCTCTGGGGACGGGTTGTCAGGGCGTGTTGGACGCTCGCTGGAGATGTGCACACACACGTGCCGTGCTGAGAAACTCGGCTAAACTGTCTAGTGGCAGCAGCAGTCGCTCAGCCTGCAATCTCTGCGAGTACCTAATGGAAAACTCATGCTTGGGTTTGTTTTTTTCCAGTTGGATGAAGGGAGCTCTGTAATAAGTTTCATGAGTAGATGTCAGCCAACCTGGAGGGGCTCTCCGGGGCTGCTTCTGAACGTGAGCGTTCCTGCCTGCCAGTGTGCCGGCACCGGGACGTGCGTGGGCAGAGCCCCAGCTCAGCAGCCCTCAGTGACTGACGGCTCCCACCCGCAGGTGCCGGCAGCAGGAACGTGGATGATGGCAAATGTGGTCTTACGTAAGAGACAGTAACTAGGGTAAAGAGATGTCGTGGTTTAACTTCAGTCGGCAACTGAGTACCACACAGCTGCTCACTGATTCCGCCCCCCCACCAGTGGGATGGGGGAGAGAATTGGAAGAGTAGAAGTGAGAAAAACTCGTGGGTTGAGATAAAAACAGTTTAATAATTGAAATAAAATAATAATAATAATGTAATAATAATAATACCCAAAGCAAGTGATGCACAGTACAATTTCTCACCACCCGCCAACCGATGCCCAGCCAGTCCCCGAGCAGCGGCCCCCCCGGCCAGCTTTCCCCAG